GGAGAGAAGGAAGAAAGGTCTAGAGGAAAAAATGAAAACACAGAAAGACGTTAAGAAAACGGAACCTCCAAAAATGTAAGCTACATTCTGGGACGCCCCTAAACCGGTGGTATGTACCTAGACATTGAAAGGCAACATATTAAAACTACAAAACTAAAGATGCGTCCGGGAAAAGCAGCCAAGAAAGTGTCCATGCAAAGACTCTACGGCTACTGAAACAGGAGAGGGTAGGCACATATAAATAGGAGAAAGACGAATCCAGCGGTAGAATGCAGCAGCAGATTCTCGTGAGCGGCTTCGTCAGGAAGCGGGTAATGGCCCTAGGGCGCACTGGTATCTAAGAAGAAGGAAAGAAATAACGAAAAGAACGGGAAGAGAAGGAAGAAAGGTCTAGAGGAAAAAATGCAAACGCAGAAAGGCGTTAAGAATCCGGAACCTCCAAAAAGTAAGCTACATTTTGGGACGCCCCTAAACCGGTGGCATGTACCTAACATTGAAAGGCAACATATGAAAACTACAAAGCTAAAGATGTGTCCTGGGAAAAGCAGCCAAGAAAGTGTCCATGCAAAGACTCTACGGTCAAGTGGCAACTGAGAGAAAGAAACCAGCAGTAGAATGTAGCAGCAGATTCTCATGAGCGGCTTCGTCAGGAAGCGGGCATTGGCCCTAGGGCCCACTGGTATCCAAGAAGAAGGAAAGAAATACAGAAAAGAACGGGAAGAGAAGGAAGAAAGGTCTAGAGGAAAAAAATGAAAACACAGAAAGGCGTTAAGAAAACGGAACCTCCAAAGATGTAAGCTACATTTTTGGAGGGTCTAAACCCGTGGTATGTACCTAGACATTGAAAGGCAACATGAAAACTACAAAACTAAAGATGCATCCGGGAACAGCAGCCAAGAAATATCTACAAATATCTGCAAATATCTACAGAACTAAAGATGCATATGGGAAAAAAAACCATCAATATGGAAATTGAAAGCCACCTGGAAAGGCTACCAAAAGGTGAAAAGGCTTTGGAATGGCTCAAAGGCTTGAAACTAGGTTGGGGTGTGGCGGTGGGAAATGGCCAGGGTGGCCATAAGAAACGTGTAACGCTTTTGGTTTTGTTTTGATTTTGATATAGTTTTGATATGATTTTGGTATGGTTTTCCTTTTCCGAAGGATGGAGGCAGGTTCCCCAAAGCCACCTGGAAAGGCTACCAAAAGGTCCAAAAGCTCTGGGGTCGCCCAAAGGCTTGAGAAAAAAACAGCAAATCATACCAAAACAATAACGAAACCATAAAAACATACTTTACATACATGCTTCTGTCATTGGCTTGGAAGTCTTAAAAATAGCAGGAAGAAAAGGAAGAAGGTCTAGAGGAAAAAGGTAATCACAGAAAGGCGTCAAGAAAACGGAACCTCCAAAAATGTAACTTACATTTTTAAGGTGTCCCTAAGGAAATGTAACTTACATTTTTTAAGCCCAAACTTGCAAAAAATGTAGCTTACATTTAGACAGGTCCCCCCACTTAGGGGTGGGGATTTACGCCTGACATGATACTCACCACCATGGGCACACTGGACCAAGCCAGCTACCGTTCAGCAGAGCTGTACCTCGACGCGCCCAAACACCGCCGTGTTGAAGCCCCAACGCGGGCGCGGTCCCGCCAAGCAAGCTCAGCCCTTGCCATTGCCGCAGGTGGCGTCATTGACGCTGGGTGAACAGCCTCTCTGCGCAGAGGGACCAATTCACCCCGTCAGGTCCACCGTTTTAATGTCTTGGTGACTGTTGCGGGAAATCGAAGCCTCCAACGCCCGAGTGGTGCGCATCTCGATCGACCAAAGTACAAAACTGGCGCGTTGGCGCCTCCCCGAAGGCGATTGGAAATTGGAAAGGCCATTGGGCGCGGACGGCGTAGAGCCACCCACTGCCCCTTCCACACGTTCCTCCCCCACAAGGGGGCACGGCTCTTCTCGTGACACCCCCCAGCGTCACACCGGGCTAATACATTTGAGGCCGTCGCCAAACTCCTCGGGTTGGCAACGCATAGCCCTTAGGGCCTGCGTCTCTTCACTGGGCACACCGCCCGGGCCACCGGGGCCGTGCGCCTTCCTTGCACACCCAAGTGTCCGAGTGCTTCAAGCAGTACGTTCGTGAAGCACCACAGGAAGCTACCCTCAACACCTCATGTTCAGACCTCACGCATGCCAACACTGGCCTGGCTTCCCAGCCTGTGGAGTGCTTCTTAAACTGCGAAACCGCAAGCCAAGTGGCGCCCGCCCACTGGCGACAATTCCGCCTACTGGCGGCAATTCCGCGGTAAGGTGCACATAGTCGGTCGGGTAGGGGACGACATTCCCCATTACCTTTGGCGCACTAAATGCCACTGGCCATTCGCCCAGCGCCAGGCAGATCACGACATTGTGGATTCGCTCCCTTCGCGACCGCAATGTGCAAGCAAGACCCCCGACAAGTCCAGTTCAGCAACTTCGTCGGATTCCTCGCAGCCTTGAGCGCGAGTCGCTCGCGTGTTGGACCTAGTTGGCGCGAGGCTCAGGTGGGCAGGGGTTGGACCTTCCTGAGTTTGGTAGCTGAAAGCTCCTTAGCAGGGGACCCATTCTGCCAACTGATTTACAAAAGGTCCGCTTTCGAGGTGTTTTTGGCTTGA